GACATCAAATATAAATCATCCACGCGCAAAATCCAGGTCTTCTAGGTTCTTCACGTCGGTCCAGGATATCCCTGTCTTCTCGTTTTCCACTGTCTGACGCATAATCCAGTCCACCACAATTAGGAATATCACTGGTGATAATGGGCACCCTTTTCTGACTCCTGTGTTTACTGCAAACGCCTCGCTGAGTTTTCCGTTGTGGATCACTTGACATGTGCCGTTTTCGTACAGCTGTTGAATAAGGTTGAGGAATATTTGGAGTACGCATTTCTGCATCTAGTGTATCTTTTATTCTTTCCAGAATGATGTGGCTTAGTATTTTGCTTGGAGTGGATAAAAGCATGATTCCGAACCAGTTCTTGTATAGGCCTAAGTCACAATTTAAGTCATCTTACAATTAGTAACAATAACACCATCCTCCAGGTCAACATTTCTGCTCCTGAATGAATTCAATGCTGAATAACTTTTCACTGTGGGACTATACTTTGCATCACCTTTATGACCACAGTTATACTTCACTTTCAATTATAAGAAAAAGAAATATTAAAAAGGGTAATGCAATCAAATATTAGATATACCAGTTTGAAAGGTAATCTGTACAATCCATGTTACATAAATATAAGACTACTAACTCTGCAATGCACTGCTTCAAAATGACAGACTTTCAAATACTTAGATTTGATTTTATACATAGTTTGTTAGGCATATACGGCAGATTACCCGACATAATCAAGAAGCTAAACTATGTGTGGAATCTTTGAAATACCTTGTGAATTCTGCCCTGTGTTACCTTTACTTTTGCTTTCTGTGCTGGAACAGTATTCATGAATGTACTACGCATATACTGAGTTGAGTAGAAACTTTAAATTGCCGAAATAATTGTTAGGCAAGTGGGATATGAACTGATCGCTAGTCATTATTAAGTAAAAGCTTATAAAAGCAACCATATCCTAGCAAATTTATCTACAGAATCTGAGTAATAGCCTATTTGAAACACATTGTTTCCTCAGAAAACGTTCTGAGAAAGATATCTAAAATTGGATGAGTAAAACTGCCTGAATAGCTCAGTGGTAATGTGTCTGACTACAGTGTTAGGTGATATGGATTCAAATCTCAGAGAAAGAATAAGCTTCCTTGAGATTGTAGATATGCTTAATTAACGAGTGTAAAAAAGTAAGGCGTAAGTAAGTACAGAGTTCCTCACTGACTCCCTCCAACTGCTAACGTCAAGAAGAAAATTAAAATATCAGGATGGTTACCATACGAAAAGTTAGATTTATAGGTATTTTATTCCTCTGAGGAAATCCTATGTACGTCGAAAAGTTAAATAAACAAGTTTTAGGTATACGAATGTCGATTTTGAATAATTTATCTTCGTACGTATGTTTGTGTCAAAGAAAGGAGACTTAATTCAATTCAAGAATTACAGCGGCATTATGCTCCTGTCCATCCCTAGCAAAATATTAGGCCGCATCATCATGGAGAGAATAAACAAGCTCTGGATGAAAAACTTCGACCGGAACAGGCTGGATTCAAGAGAAAGAAGTCATGCATTGATCAGATCGCTACATTACGGATCATCATTGAACAAAGCTTGGAATGGCAGTCACCTCTCTACCTCAATTTCACCGACTTTAGAAAGGCCTTCGATAGCGCAGCATAGGTTGAGAGGTGATTTGGAAACTACCTCGCTACTACAGGGTGACACCAACAATTAAACACCTCATTCAACAGTTGTACAACAATGCTACATGCCAAGTAATCCGTAACAGGAAACTCCCGGTGTCCTTCGAAGAAGTGAAGACTAAAGTAAAACAAGGCTGGCTGGCTGCCTACTATCTACAATGATTTTCCTGATTGCGGTAGACTGAATGATGTGACAGACACACAGTGGGAAACGAGGAGACAGGCATAAAATAGACCCACACAAAATACTTGGAGGATCTGCACTTCACCGATGATATATGTCTGATCTCCCACAAACTGGAAGATATGCAGGTGAAAGGCAACAAGTTGGCAGAAGAAGCATCCAGAGAAGATAGGATTTCAGGTGAACATAGAGAAGACAGCTGTGGTGCTGAAGATTCCTGGTCAACAGCAACAGCAACGAAGACAACAGACAACAATCAGCCAGCACAACTGGGAGGAATTTGAAAGAAGCAACCTCCTTTACCTACCTAACTACAGGTGGACAGAACTGATAAGGATATCAAAGCGAGGATCAGGAAAGCAAGGCAAGCTTTCATTACTCTCAAGTCTGTGTGGAGATAAACAGTACTCAGCATGAAAAGTAAGATCCAGATTTTCAACTCCAATGTGAATCCAGTGCTACAATATGGATAAGAGACTTGGCGCCGCATCACGAAAGCCACTTCGAACAAACTACAGACCTTCATCAACAGCTGCCTTTGCTCAATACTCAAGATCAGATGGCTGGCAAGAAAAGATCAGCAACAGTGAGGGATCTCTAGGAGCGAACCAATCCAACAGGTACCAATTGTTCAACAAACATGCAGGAAGAAATGGAGGTGGATTGGATTAGCCATACTCTGAGAAAACAAACCATCAAGTGAGCGACATCACACGCCAGGTCATCGCTCGAGTGGAACCCGAATAGGAAGCAGCGAGTCGGTCGTCAGTGTGAGGGTGGATGACATGGAGGAGGTGATGTGAAGAGGAAATGAAAGGATATGTGCAGACGTTGAGCCAGGTGAAAACGTTGGCGGAGAACCGGACGCAATGGACACGTGCGGCCGAAGCTCCATGTTCCTCTAGGAACTAAAGGAAACAATAATATATAATGATAACATATGTTTGTTTGTCTAAATCAATTCTTAAAAATTCTGGAATTATACACAGTTAAATCACTAGTCACTTCTCTAAATGAACATAAACTAGATATACCTTCTGAATTTTATGATAATCTCTCAATACACGTGATATTTTATTATCTGACTAGGTGAGCAGCATGTCACATTATTTCGAATCTCTGTAGACTCACAGCTGCTGCATCACTATCCTCATCACAATCAAAAAGAGCTACAAAGGTTACAAGTGCTTCTTATTAATAATAACAGAGAATTCGCAGGATAATTTATTAAGAAGGCTATAGGGAGTGAAAAACTCTGCTTCCTCTCGATTTTGAAATCCTGTCGCCATCATTTATCACTGCTAATAATATTATTATAATTATTATTATTATTATCATTAATATTTTTTATTGTAATTAATAACCGCAACACAGAAAATAAAACGGAACAGATGAACTAATTAATTGATGAATTAATGAAGACAGATATTCCTTCGAAACTTAGTAACAATGATTGTGTAACATGATAACCAGAAAGGTTATTAACTAGTAATTCACTCCTCATTACTAGTGTAAGCGAAACAGATTCAGCAGTATAATATAAATGATCATTTATTGTTTTTTTTTTATATATATTTATAGTGCTTTAAATTACCCGCTAATTTCCACTTTTGGCTTGCTTCTCTTTCTTCAAACCTTCTTCATTGCACTGTGCAATGGTATTCATATAAATTAAGCATTATCGTGTGGAATGCGATACACCAATGTTTTATGATTATGATTATTATTATCATTACTATTACTATTACTGTTATTAATATTATTTCAAGGGAGGCAATTTCTATCCTAACTAATGTTAGCGAATCATAATTTATTGTCAGTCACGTTAGGTGAATGTGTTATTTTCATCTTATTCCTTTTGCCTTCCCTTTTCACCCGACTTACTACCGGTAAAACGAGGTTAAGGAGTGCGTCGACCAGGGATCGAACCCCAGACCACATGCGAGGTGGTTGGCGAGCATTCTACCTCTGCACAGTGTGAACATAATTGTTGAAAAAAACCCTTCAACTCGCTTTAGATTTGTTAGCCCGTTCAAAAAAATGTATATCACTACTTCGTTGAGAAGACTTTCATCTTGTTTTACTGGAGTTAATTTCAAGCTAGTGAGTTGAAGGTAGACTGATATGGGATTGACGCTTTAAGTGGAAAGATTTTGATAAATAAGGAGTAAAAAGTAGCGCAGAAAAAGATTGTGGCAACACAAAAAAATATCCCCATTATTTATCTCTGTCAAATAACACTGCCTTTTAATCCACAACATTCAACTCATCACATGATCACCCTGATTAGCAGAGCGATTGTTTGGTGTGATCCACCTGTTGCTGTCAGCTCAAGCAGTCTACCTCAAGCTTGTCTCACTTTAAGAAGAAAGGAGTCAACCCAAATAAGCTGACAATATGGCAAGCTGTAGGCGTTTTTCTCACGTATAAATAAAAATAACCATTGAACCCTACAGAAACAATGTTGTTATTCTGTCAGGATTGAAGGAAATAAAAGATAAAGCACAATTCTAAATTAAAGGAATTCTATAAATACACATTAAAAACAACAAGGCCAACTCATTCATTCAGTTTTATTTATCTTATCTAGTAGAAGTGTCTGATTTCAGGCGACAAAAAACAACAGACTCGTAGAAATACTCTTAGACGTTGCTATCCTCATTAGATAAACACCTGCTGGACAATTTAGTCCATTAACTTGATGGCAGTAATGCCTGCAGGACTGATCAACGTGTGTACGTACTTAAAATGGCCAAGTGACTCCTGATTTACTTGGATTTGCGATACTGTCGCCCACAGATTAGTGATGTCAGCAAACATTACTTTGTTTAACAAACACCTCCATAGTGTGCATAATAACTTCACTGGATAGACCCTTAAATAAAAGACAATGCAAACCATATCAGATTCACTAAATCAATACGCGGTTTTTATGAAAACGCTTAAAAAATAAGAACTGTGTAGCATAAAATGCATGTAGACGTATGCCACTTGCAGAATTTACAATTTGCATCAGCCCGTCACTGATATTCAACAGTATAATTTCCATTATAATATATAAATCTAGATATACATGCTTCTCATAATGCTCTATTTTATTTTCCCCTTTTTGTCTGCACCATTTTCGTAGTTGCATTTCCCAATATCGTGGAGCCAGATGCGACCTTTTTACTCCAGGAGAAGAAGACACACCCTTAGAACAGTTAACCCTTAATGAACCAAAGTCTGATCCATGTGAATCTGGTAAGATCATGGTTACTACTAATTTTAAATCTAACCAGTTGTTTTGTGAAATAAAACAAAAAAATAATCCCTTGGAAGTATAGGTTACAAAAAATTTCTAGCCTAAACGATAGACGGTAAGTAATGGATGCCACTGGGAGTTTGACATCTTTTTTTAATCATTTGCACTTGACTGCCTTGTGACAATTAGTCTAAACAGCTGAAACAATCAACTAAAAACATCCTGTTCTGTCTTTTCAGCAACATTAACATTTACTCTTCCAAATCGTATGTTTTTTTCCCGTGAAAACTGACCAACCATAAATCATGGTATGTGTTTTACCTCTTGAATGAATGGTACCTAAAAGGTAGAATCCTGTTCCAATGTAAACTACTGAAAGGTTTTGAAAAAAAGCTTGAAATGTATAAATAATTCTAACTCTGCTTTGGGAAGCTTCAGAAGCTTAAACAAGCTTAGAAATAATTTTATTTTAGATCCTAACATGGCCAAGTTAAACTTTAAGCACCACTAACTACCAATGGAGTGCGACCGTACCAATTACCCTGAAACGCTCATTGAGCAAGTCAAGAAACCTGGTAAATAATATTGTCATCATCAATTAAATATGCTCATCGAAGTATGGTGCTATTAAATGGGATATCTGGCAAGTTTCAGCTTAGGTTTGGGAAAGATTAAGTTATGGTTTAAGCCAAGGACAAGTTAGGGTTAGGTTAACCTAATAAAGGCGACATTAGGGTTGGTTCGAGTTAGATTACAGTTAGTTTAGGGATATTTTCACTTTAGGGTTAGGTTCAGGAAAGATTAGGGTTATTGTTAGGGTTAGAAGACCTAAATAATTACATGCATAGAATGTGGTTAAATTACTCAGTTGGTATAAGAATAGAACTTGTGCACTGTAGTACAGTATAATTCCATTGTGGATAACATTTATTTTGATAAAGTGTCACAGTGTTATACGCTAATATTTACCGATGACGTTTCGAGCACAATTTATTGCTCAGGAAATATTATTGTATTACACTTTGAGACTTTATCAAAATAAATTTTACCCACAATGGAATCATACTGTGTTGATACTTCAACCTAAAACTGAGAGCTATTTTTGTCGACAAGTGAGAGGAAGTTATCCTCTGTAAGACTTTTCTACAGTTTTTATGCATTTTTTTTCATAAATATATGTATTCAATACACAAAATTGCCTCCTTCACGTGATTAGTGCTTTCGAGGTCATTCGCTGATTTGTAGTCAGTGGTGCTTAAAGTTTAACTTTGCCCCTAACGTGTTATCAACCAGTTGTCCGAATAGTATTTAAAACAAGATCATGGTGAAATCCACATATCAGTTTATACACAGGGTCCACACTGGAGCTGTAATAACGGTAGATACTGTAATCCAATGAATGGAATGCTTTCAAGCTGATCGGTGCTTTGATTCAGTGGCGTTGAACTAGCATAATTAACTAACCTTACACTCATAATGTCGAAAAAAGGACTTGTCATATAGCACAAAAGATTTACTACAGTGTACATTCAGTACAGAGATACATAATGAACGCGTTACTTTCACGTCCACCATATAATCATTTACGGTAAATGTTGATAGTGTTGACAAGAGAACTATGAGTGAAGTTCAGTAAATCATTTCACTCTGAAATAATCTGTAACGTTTAAATACACTGTTAAAAAAAAGAGATAACGTTTCTTTGCATCTCTTTTGGCATCCAACACATACTTTAAAAAACAGATTGGAATTTAAGGAAAATAATTCAGTGCACCTCTCAAAAGTGGATAGTTTCTTAAAAAAAAGAAAAGGTGTAAACACAATTTAGCACTTCACTTTTCAAGGAGAATACTCGGAATATTTGTTCAAAGTTGTTCTTTCGAATTTCATTTTTTTATTGTATTGTATTATATTTAATCAAACACACAATTTTATCACAAGGATGTTTTAACTCTGAATTTTTTTATTGTATTTACTTTTGTTATAAAATGGTAGATGAGAGGGTATATGCAACAAATGAAAATGTTTCTGGATTTCATCATGAGCTGACATCGGTTAGAGGACCATTGTACAACCACGTGGGAGTACTGGACAGCTGTTTCATCCTAGTTTGAGACTCTTCATCAGTACGCACCCACCGCCAGGGTTCGAACCCCGGACCTTCTGGTTACAAGGCCAGCGAGCTCGTAGACCATTCAGCTACTGCACCTGCCAATCCAATGACCAGTCCATGAATTCCAACTTCTGCCAATTGATGACATAGCGTAACCACTAGCCAATGCCTTATGCGAGTTTTGTCCTCACATCTGACCTACTGTACCCTACTGGTCACGGCTTCCCACTAGATCCCTAGGTAACCAGAATGTCCTGGGTTCAAACTCTGGCAGTAGGCGCGTACTGCTGAAGAGTCCCAAACTAGGCCGACGAAACATTTGGCTGTCCAGTACTCCCAGGTGGTTTTCCAGTGGTTCTCTAACTGATGTCAGCTCATGATGAAATCCTGTAACCTATCAATCAAATGCCTACAAAAACCAATACTTGAAAATGTTTCAATCACTAGGCTTTCTTACACAATATCTTCATTTATCTACTGATGGTACTGTTAGCGAAATCTGAGATGAATGTGGTTGACAAAATTACACAAATGAGGGACAGACAGAGGGAGAGACCTACACCAAGGTTGATGATTGAGGATCGTCTGCTTTCGCTGAGGCCTAAGAAATTCCTGTGGAAGCCCTATTTTTATGTCTCGAGAGCAATTGTACTTTCCTGCCCTATTTACTCAAAGTTGGTGTGAATTAATAAGCAAGATCATTTAAGTGTAGTGAATGACCATAACAGTCTGTATCAAAGACCAAGCCCTGGAATAGATCTGAAATGCAAGGTAAGAGACTGGGCCTCCAACGGTGACATTAAGGACATGTAAAGCGTACAGGAAAGCTTGTGAGAAGTTTTGCAGCCTGCTGATAGCTGAAAGCAGGAAACGGAGTGCAATGGAAATGAGCTGCTGAAGCCCTACGTTTTGATCCAAAATGCGAAGAATTTTTACTTTCACAGAAATTATTTCGATTATAATCAATAAAAAATGTACTCGAAATGTCATCCAGTAAATAACACTGAGTCACTGTGTGTGGTGTATCACTGAAAGTTTATTATGCAGGTGAATTCGTTTCATCTAAGTGACTTCTTATGAATTCTAAATTTCATAGCCTTTCCGGTGTATATTCGCCTTTTAAATACCATTTTACACATGGTCACAGTTAGAAAGAATAAGCGACAAGAAACTCTGGGAACGAACCTGTTCGTCAGCAAATATCTCGAAGAAAATAGTGATGGATTGGATGCACACACTGAGGACACTGTCGAATGTTATGGTACGCCAGGCTATCACTCGAGTAAAACCCAAATGAGAAATTATGAGTGTCTGGAGGTGACATGGAGGCGGTGGGGATGAGAGGCTATGGATAACCGTCAGGCCAGCTAAAAAGGAACGCGGAGAACAGGGTGTAGTGTAAACGCTTTCTTGTCAAAAGCAGTGAATGACAAAATCATAAGTGTAATTAGATAGCTTTTAAAGTTAAAAAGAAACAACTAATATATGTATAAATTAACGAATGGCGTTCATATTTTAGCCTCCATTCACTGAATAAATTCACGTCGATCATTTTCAACCAGATTATGTATGTATCAATCATAAAAAGAAGGGACTGATTAAAATCTGTTTATCTTCCATACTCGAAAACAATGATTGTTTGTTTTGATACTAAGTAGATTAGTGTAAGTCAATCATTTTCCCTGTATGCTAATACTGACTGGAAAATGAAACCATCAAATGTTGTGTACAGTGTTCAGCAATCACATGTAGGTAGTCAAGCTGAGAAAGCTAGTGAATACGCGAACCAATGTGTTGCATAAAGTGTCCAAATTACATGCTTCCTTTATGATCGTGTTGTCCAACTATTTCACTTCAGCAAAAGTTATTTCATTGAAAAAAAGAACAAAAATTATGTAACCTTTTTGTAGATTAGTTTTAAGTCCATTAGTGTAATTTTACCAACGAGTAATGCAGTAGAAAATAAAGTGAACAGACAAGAAAGAAAGCACTCTGACCACAAACATCCTTGGTCAAAAACCCTTTTTGATAAAGCTGAAAGCCAGCTGTAACAGTGGAGATGCATTCATACCTTACCTACACTCTGTTTAAAGCATCAGATTTCATTTAATCACTCCACGTATTTTTAAACAACTCTGAAATCTTTAGTTATATTATTTCCGTCTATAACTGTCTACTTGAATTGCAGATATCTGGTGTAACCACTACTGAGACCATAAAGTAATAATGTTAGGCAGTATGCCTATGTTGGCAACGCCCATTTGTCTGCGCACACTTATTCAGAAGTGAGGTTTTTATGTCTGACAAACACTGCTAGTATCCCTCTGATTTTATCAGTTGTTTTTTTTTGTTTGTTTTTTTCAAATCCGCAGTAACTCATTGTGTTCCACTCCCTTTCTTCATCCTAGTATTCGTTCGCCTTTTACTAAATCCTGTAAAACTGTGAAATTGTTAGACGCGTAAAGTGGTCTAATGCAATTTTGTGACGACTGAGATTGCTGTTGACCTTCGACAAGGCAAACGTGAATTCTCATGAAAAAAAAACAACAGTTTTATAGCTCTAGTTTTCATCAGATTAATCTACAGACTTTCAAGGAGAAAAGCATTGAATATACAGAGTTATTTAGCGTATTAATTCACTAATGAAACAATACTGACAGTTCAGCTGTTAGAATATCACTTTGTTCACCTTCACACAACATACACTAACTGTAAAAACGGGATGCATGCAAACATATACGACTTACTCCTGAAAGAAAACTGATACAATGGCTTTGTTTCAAAAGAATGGATACTGAACAAAGAGTACTCTTTTCGATAACCCCTTCATCATCAGGCTCTACAGTTATATATACCATTATAGTGAATGAATGAATGAATTAGTGT